CCCTCAGTCGCTTCAGCATGCAGAGGAGGGGAGTGCCACTGGCTGCGATTCATGTCACTCCCCGTGCAGCTCGTGTGCTGGGACATGTAACCCGGGCTGCTTGTATTGAAATCCGTGCTGCATGAATGGTAACTCGTGCCACAAGCGGCCGAAATTTTGCTGCTCCAAGCTTGGTAATAGCCTTGGGCACATGCTTGGTCACAGGCTTGGGCAGAGGCTTGGGCAGTAGCACAGGGGGCATGCCGCAGTGCATCCATGGCTGAGAACGGCCGCGATTTTCCATTCACGGGCGTGTGGAGCGTGGCGTCTCTTGGAGGCGTAACTTGCACATCTTGGTGCGACTGAAAGCCAGGAGCATCAGTAGAAGTAGCAGCACCCAGCACAGCAGCAAGCTGCAGCACAGACCCCATCGGTGCTCCCGGTCTCGCCCCTGACAGACCGTGCACTGACCCTTCCTCCCCGCCGCAATGAGAACCAAGGAAGAGATTTTCGCCATTGTTCCCCACACCATGTGCGGTTTGCTCCTCCTCAGTCACCTCCCCTTCAGGATATTCCGGTAGAAGCTCCTCGTGGTTGATACTGCAATGCATCCGCAGCTCTTGGACCTCTTGCTCCGTAGGCGATATTGCTCGCAGCAGAGAGTCAATCTCATCCGTCGGATCTTCCGAGTCCTCGCAATCCAATCGACGGCTATGATCTTCTTCCAGCATCTGATATCCGAGCGCCTCAACCAGTCCTTCCAGAGGCGCTGTACACCTAGCAGCAGCACTGTTGAGGTCAGTGGAGCAGGCATTAACGGGGATGAGCTCAGCCAGCCACGGAGGGGATGAGTGGAGGAGGGTCGGCAGGGGAGATAGTGGGGGGAAGTCCCACACAGGCAGGGAAGTATACTCGGGTAACTGCTCCTGCTGACAGGGAGAGTGTAAAAGGGCAGCTGCGGCCCAGTCGGCAGAATCAGCAGCACCAGGAGCACCAGCATCACCATCACCAGCAGCAGCAGCAGCGGCGGCGGCAGCAGCAGCATCAGCAGCACTCGCTTGCACGCTCTCATTCTGCAATGCCGGCACCAGGATGTTCAGAGCTACACCACAATCACTCGCCACGGCGATCAGACCGCCGCCCAATCCAACAATTTGATTGTCGTTCGACGTTGTGAAACCAATCCCATGGTGTGAAGCCGCGAGGTTGCAATTACGGTCCTTAGCATGGGCGGCGGGAAGGTCTTCAGGGCTGTAAGCAGCCCTCTTGTTAGGGTGATTCGTGGCGCGGTAAGCAGGGCGCTTGTTGAAGCACTTGGTGGGGTGGTTACGGGGGAAGATGTGGCGCGTGGGCAGGCGGCGGATGGGGGCCAAGCGGTGGGTGGGAAGCGTGGGGTGGTTGTGGATCGTGCAGCGGTAGGTGACTTGGATGGCGTCGGGGGAGAGCGGCTCTTCCCCCGTGACTACATGTCGGGACATGATGTCGATGGTCTTCTTGGCTGGGCATCGCGGGATGGATTTGGCGAGCGCGCACCTGTAGTAGCACCTGTGATGCGTGGGGGGGAGTGGAGGGGGGAGAAACGGCAGGGGACGGTGAGGATGAGCGCACAGGATGAGCAGCAGAGCACGGGTTGAGACGTGAGACGCGAAGCACAAGAGAAGGACAGCATGGGTGAGACGCGGACTCGCACCGCACTCACGTTTATAGTACATTTGAAGCACCGCTGACATTTATGGACCGCTGAATCTGACCTACGGAGTCAACGGGAGTTCAAGCAAGTCAACAGAAGTCAACCCAAGCCAAATCCCGAATCGCGAGGCTGACCTGGTGGCGTTGGAGCCCTTGACTTGCTTCTGGCCGTATTTGAGCCAGCTGTGCCCATCGCACCCCACCACCTGTGCCACCATCGCCTCCAACCCGCGCCGCCGCACCAACTCCTGCTCGCACGACTCACGGCTGGCCGACTGATTCTCCGAGAGCGTCTCATTATCGGAGAGTTGACGGCTAGCCGCCGAGTGCTCAGAAAGCTGACGGCTATACGTCTCTTTCTGTTGAAATCTCGCCAAGAGTGATTGTCATAATGGCAGAGATTAGCCGCTGTTGCTGTCCCAGGAACTGCCGTTTATGTAGTGATAGGACGAGCAGTGGTACTGCTACCCGCAGCACTACTAGTTTGGATTAGAAAATTTTCCAGACTGGGAAATGAGGGTGCAACGATTGTCTGATGACAGCGTGACCGCCCAGTAATACTAGGACCCCTGTTACTCGGAATAGCATCACTAGTGGTAATTGTACTGCTACCAGAAAGTCTCTGGTAGGAGTGTAGATGTACTGTAGTAGGAGTGAATGAGAGAGGGAACATTTCAATTCTCTGTCCGGCGAGAGAAGGAGCATCAGAGCAGGCCGAAGGTCGGACAAGCGCCGCCTGTCCTTGCTCGCCGAGTGCTCGCCGAGTGCTCGTGCACGGTCATTGTTGATACATGGATGGCCATCCTTGAAAGGATAGGCCGGGCCACGCTACTCGCGGAATAGATTGTCGGCATCGCAACTCGCAAGGCTGCCTGCACCATGACGGAGCATCCCACTCTTGTTCAACTGTGTACGCATGGTGGATAATCTCTGACTTGCGGCCAGCGGAGCGGCCATTTGCACATGGATGAGTGGCGTAAACCAGCCGGACATGCAAGTCTGGACTTGCAATGATTTCTCGGATGCTACAGCGTGTTTCGCTAGGGTTGCGAATTGCGTAGTCTTGTCGTCGTGACATGACTCGCTCGTGAAGATGAGCAGAGCCCCCCCCCTCGCTGGGAGAAGGGGGGGAGAGGAGGGAGGGGAACGGAAGAAGAAAGGGAAAGGGATCCGCAGCTTGAGGAACTCGACTCACCTGTCGAAGAATACACACCTCTTTGGTAGCTTCTGAAATAATATTAGATACACTTCTGTACCTGGCATAGACTTTGATCAAGTCTGTCTGTCATTAATTGTAGCAAACAAGAAGTACTGTACACCCACTTTCTCAACCTTTTCACCTAGCGCGACTCGTTGCTACAGTACTTGTCTCGTGCGGTCAGGTGCCATAAAATGTTCCTAGCAATCTGGGGGGGAAAGCTGAACCACGTGACAAACTGGCTCAAGGGTGTAAAATTTCCGTTATCGCTGTATACCTTACCCAACCAAATGAAAACGCGGACACATTTGTTTGTAACGTGCATCACCTCACCTAACCGCATTCGTCGCATTGTGCTTGTACAGTTGGTGACAAGACCATTCTGAACGTGGTGACGTTCTACAACCCGTGTATGTTCTGCAACCAGATGCTCTACTAGCGCGAAATAGGGTGTACTCCACAAGTGTTCATCGCACGTGCTTCGTTATGTACGGGCGCGGCGCGCTGCTGATTAACCACGAATCGTGTCCGGTCCAGTGTCCTTCTGTTCCCTCGTCCTCCAAGAGGATGATGCTGTCATGATAAGCAGTCTGAGAGGCAGCTTTGAGCAAGCTGCGATAACACAAACGACGCTGATGTCGCATACGCACGCGCTTGCGAAGTCTAGGCAAGAATGAGGACGGTGAATCACTTGTCCTCCGCACAATCTCGGGCAACTATATGATACTAGTGGGCAGACCGAGACCTATGGGTGGAGTAGCGAAAGTAGGTGGAGCTAGAAGCTGAAATTTGCCAGGGTCAAGACTACACTATGTATGCGCTGTACAGAAGGTTTCGGTGTTTCGTTTTATGCCCCTTCATCTCATTCCTTCGCGTGATTGGCCAAAAACACCTTTGCCTTACAGCCTGATTGGGCAACTACGAAGTGTGGGCCCTTGCCGTGTATTTCTTGCGTGAGACGAAAGGGAAAGTATATCCCAGCTCCTTACTTTCAGATTTCTCTCATATTTAGCCCCAGTTTGACTCAAAAAGTACCACTTTCTAGAATTTCTCTCACGCGAGGCCCAAAGTATGTTCAAAACTGGTCCTGCGGGGCTAACCTTTCGACACGTGTCCGTTTTCACAGCAGGAATTTCTGACGGGGCCGAAAACATAAAACCCCTAGGGAAACCAGGACATTTTTTCGGGAGGGATCAACCCTAAACACGGGAACCCGCTTGGTGTTTAGGGTTGATCCCTCCCGAAAATGTGTCCTGTTTCCCTAGGGGTATTATGTTTTTTTGCCCCGTCCAAAATTTCTTGGTGCGAAATGGACACGTGTCGAAATGTTTGCCCGGCAGGACCAGTTTTGAACATACTTTGGGCCTCGCGTGAGCGAAATTCCACAAAGGTAGACGTTTTGGATAAACTTAGAACTAAATTTGAGATATTTTTGAAACTAAGGAGCTGGGATGTACTTTCCCGAGACGAAATCCCAAAATAGTTCGTGGCTTGCACACATCCCCGACAGTGAACGCCTCTTTTTAAAATTGATGCGCTAACTTTCTCTGGTTATCTAAAGTTCACAAGCATAGCCACCACTCTCCTTGAGTTGAGTGTTTATGCAATTTTCACTTCGCCTGGGGTTTCCCTCAGTTCCTTACCTTCACCTCGCCTTCCCCTTGCCTACCGTTGCTTTCGGGAGTATCCAGGCCCCGTCTGATTCGAGGTCCCTAAAACAATGGCCGGGTGATTGGCTCGGTCATGTAGCAGCGAGCGAGGTCGCTCCGAGGGATGCAACGCGACGAGCGTTGAGCAGCATATCTTGAATGACGATTGAGCAACGAACGGCCAAGTCCGCGTGCCTTAGGCGAAGAGGACGAAGAGAACCAGGTGTTTCTCAATCATGAGAGCTGAAGTCGTCGAGCATACTGCTTGTCGCTCCCTGTCGATTACCGGGAGACACTCACCTGTTGATTTTTACTGTATTATTCTACTTCAGTTTGTAGTTAACGCTGCTCCCAGGAGGTTACTTGTGAGTCGTCTCAAAATTCGTGTTCATTCCATTACTGTATCGCACCAACTCAAGTGAATTCCTCGTCTCTACTCGAGCAAGATCCTTCGATTCGCTGCTAACGCTGCTCCCAGGAGACCAATGGAAGACAAATGTCCTTTTTGCGGCAGCCGGGAAGGTGCGCGGAACCTTCCCGTTCCGCACGGTCCGGCGCATAATCCGTCGCATCAGCTGTCGCACAACCCATCGCACGGCCAAGCTAGCCATAATACTCCCCATCATCCGCATCACGCGCCGCATCATGCGGCGCATCACGCGGCGCAACAGCCGCCGCCACAGGCGCCGTACGAGACGGTCCTGGTGGCGTGCGCGAGCTGCGCGCGAATCGTCGCGGAGCGGCGGATTATTCCTCTGCTGTTCGTGCCGCGCACCGTCGAAGAAGCTTCCTTCTGCCTACCCGCCAGGGACGTGCTGTTGCACGCGAAGCTTCGTCCGGACGAGGTGCGAGCAGCAGCGGATAAAATAGAAGAGCTGAAAGCCGTAAAGGATGCAGAAATTAAAGCCGGAGAGAATGAGGAGGTGAAGGCAGAAGTAGCAGCAGCAGCAGATGACAGTCGAGGAACGGCTATTTCAGGGAAGCCAGAAGTGAAGGTGGAGACTGAGGAGGGTTTGATGGAGAAGGGGAGGAGGGAGGTGGGGAAGAAAGAAGTTCAGGGAGGGGAAGGGGAGGAGAAGGTAGCAGGAGAGCAGGTGGGGAAGGAAGAGGAGAGTAAGTCCCTGGTAGGGTTTGATCTGAACTTCGATCTGAACATGGATGCGATGGACGGTGGAGATGAAGCGACAGGAGGGAGGATGGACGGCGGAGGAGATGAAGCAATAACCGGAGGTCGAGTTCCGGAAGGGCAAGAGGGGAAAGCTGAAGACGAGGAGGAAGAAGTAGATGAGGAAGAGGAGGAGGAGGAGGAGGAGGAAGAGGAAGATGAAGAGGAGGAAGAAGAGGAAGAGGAGGAAGAGGAGGAGGACGGGGGGGAGGACACGGGGGAAGGAGAAGAAGCACCGGAAGAGCAAACAAGCCCCAACTCGCTCAATTCCCTCACGGACGACGACCCACCTCACCGCTTCCTGGACCCCTCAGACCAGTTCCTGGACGTCTTCTCATCGCTTTCCCTCGAGTCCGCTCCGCCGCTCTTCTGCGCCGCCTCGCTGCCCTTCTCAGGCCAGCTGGCGGAGATGGAGCGGCTGATTGGCCCAGTGCTGTACACCGGATGCTCAGGAGGAGCAGGGGGGAGTGCTGTGGGGACCACTGATTTCCTACGTGCGTATTTTCAGGTGAGACGCTCAAACTTTGGAAGCTATTTTAAAAAAAGGCTCTCCCTTTCTCTCCTTCATTGGCCGACTGGCGGAGATGGAGCGGCTGATTGGCCCCGTGCTGTACACCGGGTGCTCTGGGGGCGCAGGGGGGAGTGCGGTCGGCACCACTGATTTCCTACGCGCGTACTTCCGGGTGAGGCGCTCAGAGTAAGGGAACTCTTCAGAATGCCACCTCCCTTTCAGGCATCAGCAGCAGCATCATCTTCCTCCCAGTAATTTCCCTTTACCGTCTCGTTCCCACCCCCCCCACCTTCAGTTTTTAGATGTGAGCGGGCTGCTGAACATAGAACAGAGCATCACAGACCAATTGTAAGCTGACCCAAACTATCTTGCTCACTCCTCTCCCCACCCCCCCGCCCCCCACCCCTTTCAGATTCTGGAGGTGAGCGGGCTGCTGGAGATAGATCAGAGCATCACGGACCACGCGGTTACCCTATTCCGCGACTACGTGGTGTCGGCAGGCGGGGCGCGGAACCGCAACATCGAGGCGCTGGCCACCGCAGCCGTGGTGCAGGCCATGCGCGAGGCGCAGGAGGCCCGCACCCTCCAGGAAGTTTCCCTGGTGGCGGGGATTGCGGTGAAGGAGCTTGGGAGGAGTTTGAAGGGGTTGATGGAGGTGCTGCGGCTGCAGCAGCCTGTCAACTCCAACTCTGTCTCCTTCCACATGCCTCGATTCGGGTCCATCCTGCAGCTCCGCAAGTCCACCCAGGTGGGGCTGTCTATTACTCACTCACTGAACCCCGCACTCACTCACTCACTCGCCCAGTCACACTCGCTCTCACTTGTGCACTCGGCGTTCAACGGTTCAGCCAGCGGGCCGATCGGCCAACGAGTGAGTTTGTTGGCTGCAGCAGCCTGTCAACTCCAACTCTGTCTCCTTCCACATGCCCCGCTTTGGATCCATCCTGCAGCTCCGCAAGTCCACCCAGGTGGGGCAGGCAGGCACCCTGTCTGTTACTCACTCACTGAACCCCTCACTCCCTCACTCACTCACTCGCTCAGTCACACTCGCTCTCACTTGTGCACTCGGCGTTCAACGGTTCAGCCAGTGGGCCGATCGGCCAACGAGTGAGTTTGTTGGCTGCAGCAGCCTGTCAACTCCAACTCTGTCTCCTTCCACATGCCTCGATTCGGGTCCATCCTGCAGCTCCGCAAGTCCACCCAGGTGGGGCAGGCTCCCTGTCTCTCACTCATTCACTTACTCACTCACTCACCTTCTCACGAACTCTTCCTGCATGTCTACCTGCTTGTCCCCCCTGCTGCAGCCGTTGAACTCGGTTTATCGCTCTGGCCTCCTTTCCATTCTCAACCCTCTTCCAGGACCTCGCAACGCACGTGGGAGAGGTGGTGATATCCAAGTCCTTGTGCACGCGCCGCAACCCCATCAGCATCACCACCCGCCTTCCACATGCTTTGTGCTTCTCTTCTGTCCCCTGTCTTCACCAGGACTTGGCAACGCATGTGGGAGAGGTGGTGATATCCAAGTCCTTCTGCACGCGCCGCAACCCCATCAGCATCAGTGCTGCAGCCATATACCTCGCCTGCCAGCTAGAAGACAAGAGGCGCACGCAGACTGAGATCTGCAAGGCCACCGGCCTCACAGAGGTGCGTGCAGTGCGGTGAAAACAGAGTTCTGCATGGTGTGAATGGGTGGAGTACAGTTCAGAGATGTGGGCCTGTCTGTGCATGTGTGTGATGGTGTGTATGAGTATGTGTGTGCTGTGCTCATATGTATGTGCATGTGTGTGCATGTATCCGTGTGTGCCTGTGTGCACAGGTGACGCTAAGGAAGGTGTACAAGGAGCTATTGGAGAACATAGACGACCTGCTCCCTCCGGGCTACATGTTGGTGTGCTTATTACGTTGTGTCTGCTCTGCTCGTGTGTGTTTGCCTTTGTGTCTGACCCCAGGTGACGCTAAGGAAGGTATACAAGGAGCTGCTGGAGAACATAGACGACCTGCTCCCTCCGGGCTACATGTTGGTGTGCTTATTACGTTGTGTCTGCTCTGCTCGTGTGTGTTTGCCTTTGTGTCTGACCCCAGGTGACGCTAAGGAAGGTATACAAGGAGCTGCTGGAGAACATAGACGACCTGCTCCCTCCGGGCTACATGTTGGTGTGCTTATTACGTTGTGTCTGCTCTGCTCGTGTGTGTTTGCCTTTGTGTCTGACCCCAGGTGACGCTAAGGAAGGTATACAAGGAGCTGCTGGAGAACATAGACGACCTGCTCCCTCCGGGCTACATGTTGGTGTGCTTATTACGTTGTGTCTGCTCTGCTTGTGTGTGTTTGCCTTTGTGTCTGACCCCAGGTGACGCTAAGGAAGGTATACAAGGAGCTGCTGGAGAACATAGACGACCTGCTGCCTCCGGGTTACGAGCCCACCATCCCTGCGTGCAGGGTCGCTAGCATGCCCCTCTCTGGCCATGGCGCAGGGGGAGGGGGAGGGGCAGGAGGTGGGGGGAAGGGGGGAGGCGCGGGAGGGGGAGGGGGAGGGGGAGGGGGAGGAGGAGGGGGAGGCAAGGGAGGGGAAGGAGGAGGAGGTATTGCTGGCGGGAGGGATGGAAAAGGGGGTGGAGGAGCAGCAGCAGCAGCAGCAGCAGCAGCAGCAGCAGCAGCAGGGACGGTGGGGGCGGCAGCAGCTAGAGCCGCATTTGTTGCAGCGGGACCAGGAGGAGAAGGGGGAGGAGCAGGAGGTCGGGCAGGAGCACAGATACCATCTGGGCACAAGGCCCCTTTCTCCCCCTTTGCCCATTTCGCCGCTCCTGCTGCAACCGCCACTGTCGTTCGTGCTGCTTCACCAGGTGTTCCTGTCACTGCGTCTGGTTCAGCTACCCCCGCGGCATCCCTTGGGACTGCTTCTGGCCTTGGCAGGACCGACAGCCAGAGCTCCTTCCCCTCGTGTGCCAAATCGCCTGACAGAGGCTCTGCGTTCCCGTCATTCGGCGCTCCACAGTTGATTCCTGAGGGCAGGGCGGAGGCCTGGCAGCAGCAGCAACAGCAGCAGCTGGGTGTGCGACAGCAACGGCCGCAGCAGCACTCGCAACAGTATCAGCAGATCCAGCACTCGTTTCAGCAACAGCAGCAGCAGCAGCAGCAGCAGCAGCAGCACCAGCACCAGCAGCACCAGCAGCAACAACAATTTCAGCCGCAGCAGCAGCAACAGCAGCAGCATCAGTTTCAGACACAGCAGCAACATCGTTTTCAGCAGCAACAGCAGCAACAACAATTTCAGCAGCAGCAACAGCAGCAGCAGCAGGGCAAACAGAGCACACCGCTGTCTCTCCCCTCCTTCCCTTCTCCTCCCGTACGCCCCTCACTCTCCTCCACCTCCCCTCGTCCTCCCCTCTCTCTCCCCTTCCCTCCCTCCTCATCTTCCCCTCGTCCCCCCCTCTTTCTCCCATTCCCCTCCTCCCTCGCCTCCTCCCCACACCCTCCTCCCCCTCTCCCTCCCTCATCCTTCCTCTCCTCTCCCTCATCCCGCTCTGCCCCTCTCCTCCCCCCAGGTTCCTCTCCCTTTAAGCGCCCTCCCCTCGTTCTACCCGGATCCACTCCCCCTCTCTCCTCCTCCACCCCCTACCCAACTGCACCGCTCTCCACCACGTCATCATCCTCTTCCCCATCACCCATGGCCCTGCACATGCCTTCCCTAGCCTCCATGGCAGCTTCGGCACCAGCCACAGCTGCTGGTTTGGGGGCAGGGTTGGTGGGGATGGGAGTGGGAGGTGCTGGTGGTGGTGCTCTTGCCAGTGCTGGTGCCGGTTCTGCTGCTGCTGCTAGTGCTGCAGGCAACAGTTCAGCTGCACCTGATAACTCCACTTCCCAGAATCCCCATGCAACACCTCTCCTCTCTTTCACTCTCCCCCCCAACTTTCACCACCAGTTCTCTGCTACCCGCCCTCCATCCAATCCCCCCCCTGTGGGCCCCGGTCCAAGATTCCCTGCCCCTGCTCTCTCTGTGCCCCTGCCCCCCTCGTCCGCTCCCAATTCTTCTCTTCTCCACGTCTCTCCTCCTGCTGCTGGTGCTGCCCCTTCTGCCGCTGGTGCCGCAACCCTAGGTGGTGGTGGTACTGCTGCTGCTGCTACAGCTGCTGGTGCTGCTGGCGCTACAGCCGCTGCCGCTGGTTCAGGGGGGAAGGGAGGGTTTTCGCTGCTGCAGCTGCCGAGAGAACTGGCAGAGCCGTTCCCTCGCTCCTCCTCTGATTCCAACCTCCGACCTGCCGCCCCGGCTGTTGCTGCTGCCTCTGCTGCTGCTGCTGCCGCTGCTGCTGCCGTTGGTCGCACAGGAGGGTTCGGAGGCATGGGAGGGATAGGAGGAGGAGCAGGAGGTGGCACAGGAACAGCAGCAAGTGGGCACGACAGTGGGAGTAGTGGTGGTGGGTTTGGTGGTGGATTTGGTGGTGGGGGGAGTAGTGGAGCGGTTGTTGGTGGAGGAACAAACCAGGAGGTAGGGACGCAGGCAGCGAGACGACGAGCAGGGTCGGGGGGCAGAAGGGGAGGAAAAGGGGGGAGAGTGGGTGAGAGAGTGGGTGGGAGAGGAGGGGCAGGAGCAGTGGCAGCGTCAGCAGCAGCACTGTCAACAGCAGCTGCAGTGGCATCTCAGCCAAGCAGTCGTAATCAGCAGGGGTAATTAGTAGCACCAATGTTCTTAGGAGGTGGGAATAAGGGCGGGACTTCTGGGGCCGAGGAGATGAGTAGCCCATTCCGCTTTGGGGCAACATTCCAAGTTCCCCAAACAGGCCAGCAAGCAACCTCGTCCCAGTTTCAGCCGCAGCAGCAGCAGCAGCAGCAGCAGCAGAGCCAGAAGGGCACCCACATGTCTCCTATGTTTCCTGTCAACGGTGGTGGTACTGCTAGTGGTGCTAGTTTTGCTGGTAGTGTTATTGGTGCTGCGTTTGCTGGTAGTGCTGCTTCGGCAGCTACTGGTGATACACGTTCTGCTGCACAAGGCACAGCTGCTGCTGCCACAGCTGATGGCACTGCAGCTCCTACTGCGGCTGCCACCTCGTCTCTTCCTGCCTGGATGACCCACGTGCATCGCCAGCAGCAAATGCCCCAGCACCAACATTTGCAGCCGCAGAAACTGCACCAGCAGCAGCCACAGCAACCGCCGCAGCAGCAACAACACCAGCACCAGCAGCAGCATCAGCAGCAGCACCAGCAGCGTCAGCAGCCGCAGCAGCAACAGCATCACCCACTACAGACACACCAGCAGCAGCAGCGACAGCAGCATCAGCATCACCCTAACGCTCAGCTGACGCAGCACCCACCCACACATCCTCCTCCATTCTTTGCCCCTTTTCCCTTCGCTCCCCCTAATCAAGGAGGACCTACACCACAGTTGCCCCCAGGGTTACGACCCGAGCATGTGGCAAATGCTGGGACGCCTCAAGGATTTCCGCCGTTTCTTAGAGAGGCCAAGCCTGGTTTGTTCATGCAGTCTTTACAGCAGTCGCCAAACCCCATGCATAACAGAAATAACAAGCAATAAGGACAAACATAAACATATATATCTTCACAATCATTTGCTGTGAAATTCCTTCTAGCTCGTGGGTATATATGCTGCTTTATATCATCTCTAAAAACGTAAAATGTCCTTGGCATTTGACAATAAAATGCTTCTGTACCAGCCATTCAATTCCAATTCTTGTCTTCAGCAATCAATAATTTGCAAGGACCAAAATTGTTACGAGAGCTTATACTCCCTTCCGTTGTGAAGTACATTGTCCGCCATGGCCGCAATTGCCGGGTGCGCGGTCCCTTGCGTCACCGGCCTAAGCCTGACCCCCATCCCCCAGGATTTTTCCGAATCCTCCGTGCAGCTGCTGCGAAATGTCACGGCGAGCGCGTTACCAGCCGTTACGAAACTGACGATCAACGAGGCAGGAGCTGGCGTGGTCTTTTCGAGGTCAGGATTGCTTGTTCATGGCGATACTCCGCTCGTTACGCAATCGATTTCCAGCATTTCTGGTCTCCGAACGGCAGCGTTTTTATTTCTGACAGCTACCACGACACAATTTGCAATGACGAAACGGAAACAAACGTTAAACGAAATCGCGTATCTTCCTGCACTTAGCTCGCACCACCTACGCCTTTCAGGCGTCTCTCCCGGTCCCTGCACGTTTCCCCGTCACTGTCAGGAGTATCGACAGCACCGCCACGTGGCAGCAGACGAGCGACCAGAGCCATGGCAGGCACCTCGCCTGGCAACAACCAATCAGAAGGTCGCGACGGATCCTCTGCATCCGATCTCAGCAGCGTCTGTGTGGTACGGAGAACCGGGATTCTGCTTATGATCATTATGGATAATTGTGGGTGATCATGGGTGATCATGGGTGATTATGGGTGATCATGGGTGATTATGGGTGATCATGGGTGATTATGGTTCATCATGGGTGATCATGGGTGATCATATATGACAATGGATGGATGGTCACAGATGACACTGGTTGATCATGGACCATCATGGATGGTCATGGATCAGATTATGGAAATTCATGGGTTATCATAACCTTCATGATAGCATGACTTGCTACCACGGGTCGGCACGGCTATCATGGACTGGCATTGACCATCGTGGACCATCGTTGACCAGAATTGACTGCATTGACTTGTGTGGACAGCAATGTGACAGCATTGACCGTCATGAACCATCTTGGTCTTTGATATAGCACGTATCAGTGGCGTTTATTACACAACCTCCCAATGATGGTGCATGGCATGGCAGGTGGGCTGTGGAGGGCTGTGCATTGACTATCTTGCCACCGTCACCGCTTTCCCCCAACCAGATGACAAGATTCGAAGCACCTCTTTCGAGGTGCGTTGCCGTTCCTCTCTTTTAATCCTTCTCTTTCGACGCCAATCATGACCGTTGCAGGTCTTATGCACCGTTCTCAAGGTCTTGTGTCTGCTCTGCTGCGCTGCTCGTGTGTGTGTGTGCTCTACAGGTGCAAGGCGGAGGCAACGTGGGCAACACACTCACGTCCATCTCTCGTCTTGGACTCTCCACACGCATATTCACCAAGGCACGTTGAATTCACTAAGTCATGTTGGATTTCACATCCCATCAGCACACATCTTCCACTGCCAGTCCTGTCTCCCTTGTTCCAACCACTCCCCCTCTCCCTATCGATGCTCCCTGTCTCGAGGGTCTTCTATTCCAGGGGGGTTACCCACTCCAACTCTTCTTCCCCCTCACGAACCCCCCTCCGATTCCGTCCCTTGGTGTGTGAGCGACAGCTGGCGGACGACCTGGTGGGCAAGGCGATGATTGCAGAGCTGTTCCTCTTGCAGGGGTAGTTGGGGTTTTCTTCTTCCCATTTACTAACACTCCCTCCCCCCCTACCTCCGAACCCGTCCCCCTGTGTGTGAGCGACAGCTGGCGGACGACCTGGTGGGCAAGGCGATGATTGCAGAGCTGCAGGCAGATGGTGTGGACACGTCACACATCATTGTGAGTCCATGCCACGTCAGTGGACGTGAATCCCTCGTCGCTTTCAGTGCCACGTCAGTGGGAGCAAGTTTCAAGTTATTGTGAGCCCATGCCATCCCACAACAGTGGAATTGAGGCTTACACATCATTGCACATGACTGCTTTTCACGTCACATCACCTCTCGACTGAAAGCCCATGCATTCTTATGTACCGGTATCTTCATGTGTGTGCCTGTCTTGTTGGCGTGTGCTGGGCAGGTTGGCAAGGGGGGCATGTCGCCATCCACATACATCATTGTTGACCAGCAGACGTCAGTGCCTCTTTGCACCCCTCCTTGTCTCCATCATCTCTTGTCTTTCCTGGACCTTGTGCTTCCCCTCCCATCTGCCGCCGCTGACTTTGTTTTCATCCATTCATGCATTTCCATGTCTCATGTATCCATGTATCTGTTTCTTTGTATATCCCGTCACCCCTCCTCCGATCAACCCTCCTCCCTGCTCTTATCACCCCTCAGCAACACGCGCACGTGCATCCACACGCCCGGCTCCCCGCCCCTGCTCCCCTCGGAGCTGTCAGCTGCTGCCTTGACGTCTCTGCTCGCAGGGGCTTCTCTCGCCTACTTTGATGGCCGCCTGGCTGACACCACCATTCGGATATGCCAACAGGTGTGTTACCTTCTGACTTGCACCTAGATATTTCATTTCGGAATCGTGCCCCCCGCACCTGCTTCCTATCTCCAGGCGGTGGCCCTGGTTCTGCCAGTGCTGGTGGATGCTGAGAAGCCCCGAGAGGGGTCAATTTTGTGGGTGCCGTGCCTTATAGATACACTCTCCCCCTTCCCCTTTCCCCCCTTGCTCGTCCCCCCATTACTCCCCCACCTTGTCATCACCAGGCGGTGGCCATGGGACTGCCGGTGCTGGTGGACGCTGAGAAGCCCCGAGAGGGGTCAATCCTCAGAGATACAATCCCCCTCCCCTCCCTTACCTCCTGGTTGTCTTTTCTTTCTCTCTCCCCCTTCAGGCGGTGGACATGGGTCTGCCAGTGCTGGTGGACGCTGAGAAGCCCCGAGAGGGTCTGGACGACCTGCTGGCCCATGCCACATGGGGGGGAGATATCGTGGAGAGCGGTGACGCATGATGATTAGGAGGGGGCGAAACAGGAAAATAGGATAACTGAAGACAAACACGAGGAGGGGGGGCAACATCGTGCAGAGCACGGGGCTCTGGGGGGGAGCAGCCATTAGAACGTTCCGTTGCGAAGAGGCGCTACCCACTTATACCCATACGAATCAGAACTGAAACACTCTCCACCATTAATTCCCGCTCTGCACCGCACAGCACACAGCACTCACTGCAACAAGTCCTCACCTGCAGCCACCCGTCGGTCCAGCATGGCACATCCGGCCGCCCCCAGTGTGACTATAATGAAGCGTGCTCTTGGCAGGCGCACCGCCATGGCCAGCAGGGCTGCTCCCAGCGTCTCCTCCCCCGTCCATGCCTGCAAACAAGCATTCCATGCCATGCCATGCCATACCGTGCCATGCCATGCCATGCCATACCGTGCCATGCCATGCCATGCCGCATACATGCATCAAGCAATCTGTGGAAGCATGCCCCCTCCCTTCTCCCCGTGCCTCTCCTCTGCAGCCTCGGAGGCACCCAGTGAGGATGTGGACAAGGCACTACAGTGGGTGATCAGAGCCGCACAGGAGAAGGGCAGCAAGCAAGGCAACCCTGCGGTCTTCTCCTCTCGGGTACTCATTCTCCCGTCACTGCACTGCTGCCCTTGCCGCCCTTGCTTCTCCTTTGCTCTCCATGCCTACGGCTCCTGAATGTCTCACCCTGTCTGCGATTTTCCTGTTTGTTTGGCCGAGCCATCCGATCTTGGTGGCTGAGATTTTCACTTTGCCATCCGTCCTGGTGTTTCCTTCTCACACAGCCCCTGCGTCTGAAGTCCTCGGCACAAGGGACAGAAGTTGCCGCCCAGCTGGTGGCAGCGACAGCTGTGCCGCTGGAGGCAGGGCAGGTGGTGGATACCACCGGCGCTGGCGATGCCTTCATTGGCGCTGTTCTTTATGGTGAGTTGGGTTGTTTGATGTATGATGGGGGACAACCATTGGGAGCCACAATTGGTGATGAAATGTTAGCAGGATGTTGTTTTGTGGTAAGTAGAATGATGACAACTGTTGTGTTCCATACCTCAGTCATCCATGCCTGATTGTATGAGTAGGTGTAGATTTCTTGCTAATGAGTCTCTATTTATGGTGATGTATGGCTGTTGTTTTGAGCTATGTGCATGGCATGTCCTTTGTTAATAGAGGTATGTCTGTGCTGTGGATGAAATGCATCAATCACTCGGTGCTTTTGCTGACCAGAGTTGCATGAAAAAAATCTACTACATTTTTCCTCCTACACTTCCCTACGTGCAGCCATTTCTGCTGGTTTCACTGTTGATCGCATGCTCATACTCGGCGCTACTATTGTACGTATGCGTAACTTTTCGACAGACTTCCTTTCGTCCCAAAATCTGTTCCGTCCGTGCATCCTTCTCCTGAAGTCCTTACTCGCCAGTCTTTTAATAATGTACTACCGCCATCATGGTATGTCTTCCATGTTTTTCACATACGGTACATCTCCATGGATGTATTCGTGATCCCAGGCTGCAGCGAAGTGCCAAGCCCTTGGAGCGCGTCAAGGCCTGCCCCGCCGTGATGACCCTCGCCTCGCGCACCTTCTTGAGCCTGAGCTTGCTGTTGCGTCTGGTTTGTAAAATATATAAAACAGAAATGTACACTTTTGTTTGTTTTATTTTTCCTTGTACATCCAACCTGGTTGAGGCCTTGTCCAATGACGAGCTCTGACATCAAAGCACCTCGTCAGTCTTCCACAACGGGGTCGCCTTTTCTGTCCCCCGCGTGACCGTTGGAGGGAAGTGGCGCTTCGATTTATGGCCCCTTGCCTTTGGAGACCACGCCGAAAACTTCCCTGGGGGAAACAGATGTGAAGCCTGTTGCTGCTGCTGGCGCTGCTGCTGCTGAGGCCCAATTGGAAAACAAGGTTGCTGATAGAAACTCATTGAATAACTAAATACCTGCATTGCACTGCGACACTTGGTCGAGACCGTCAAGTTGCGAGGTTGGCTTGCAACAGCCACGGTGTAATCCTGTGAAGGTTTCCGCTCTTATGTCGCTGAGATTCAGGCTTTACGAATGTTTAGGCAGCGGAGGGGAATTTCCTGAAAATGGCGTCTGTGACATAGACGGAGCTTTTTGTGTTGCTGGTGCTCGCCCTGGGATAAGTTACTTTCTGTAACTTTTTCTGCGAATATGGCCGCCATATAGTTTGCAAGATTACCTTTTTATCCATCCTCGATACAGAACGGTATGGCACGCGTGTCTCCCCTTACCGTCACAGTAAATAGTACCGCCATCGCTTTCTTCATTCTAGTGGCGACTGGCTGCTGGTCGTCAATAGCTGCAGAGAACCTGACGGTCAGCGACGCTTCAATAAGAGGTTATCCGCAGCTAAGGGTGAAGCAGCGGCCCGATACGTGGTCAGGACCCGAAGAAATTTCAAATTCTCTTTCAGAAAGAGGGAGATTAACTATTATCGAAAGGGAATGGAGCGATACAGCTGCACCATTGCAGGAAATGAGGGACGAGCGCTCCGTGCTGGTTGGTCGGAGCCTGCTGAACAATGTGAATATATCTAGAGGCCACTCAAGAAAACCTGGAAAATTAGCAAAGTCGACCGCTGCGGTGAGCAGCAGGAAGCGGGATAGCAGAGTACGCACTCAACGGCCTGAGGCCTCAAATGGAGCACAGGGTGGGAGGATGGGCAAGCAAATCGATCAAGGGAAGAAGCCGCAAAAAGAAAATACTATAAAGAGGCGGAGCAGTAATGGAAGGACTAAGAGACGCGCATCGGCAATGGTTGTTACTCCACCGTCGTCCACGTCATCATCTCCCCCATCCGGTAGCAAATCGCGATCTTCACCATCAGCATCATCGCCATCAACGGCCAAAAAATCACCTCCACCAACCAGAGTTGTGTCATCCTTGTTCCCTCCCTCCTCACCCTCTTCCTCTAATTCTCCCCGGAAAACACCATCACAACAATCACCAAAACCATCAGCACCATCAACACCATCAGCACCATCATCGCCATCATCGCCATCATTGGCCCCACGAATAGCACCAGCGGCATGGGGCGCATCGAGGATGCAGCTGGTGACGGTGCCATCTGCCAGAGCCGTGTGCCTCGACGGCAGGTGCGCCGCCCAGCACAATAGGCCCCGATCAGTAGCTCCCAGCGTTCGACATCCACTGTACTCAAAGCACGTCACGAGCGAACTTTCCCCATAGTGTTTCAACTTCGCCAATGTCGCCGTGTCATTCTCAGCGAATTCCGGCTTTTCATTTGCACTGCCTGACCCGTCGCCTCGTATCACCTTTCTTTCCTCCCCCTCTCACTCTCCAACCCTCCCAAACTCTCAACGCTCCCAACCCTCTCATGGTCCCTCCTGCATTCTCGTCCCTGCAGCCCAGCTGGTTACTACTTCCGCAAAGGGACGGGCACTGGCGCCAACAAGTGGCTAATCTACTTCCACGTAAGCCATGCCCTGCCACGTCACTCATGCATGCGCATGTCACCGTGCTCTATCCGCGCCTTGTTCTTTACTGCCAGCAACAAATCTGACTGGCAGCAACCAAGGTGCCTCCCTGTACCCAGTCTCCCTCACCCTTCCAACCCCCACTCACTGATTATTCCACGCCCTGATCCTTGCGTTGCTCCTCCCCTTGCTCCTTTGCATGCGTTGCTCGCAGGGCGGCGGCTGGTGCACGAGTGCAGCGGACTGCCAACATCGCCCCTGAGATGTTCCTCCCGACACCCCTCCCACCCTCCCCTCTTTTTCGCCCCTCTCCACCCCCTGCTCCTCACGTTGCTCCTTGGTTGCGCCTCGCCTTGCTCCGCCCAGGGCGGCGGGTGGTGCACGACTGCAGCGGACTGCCAGCAGCGCGCCAAGACCTTCCGTGGCTCCTCGCGCTTCTGGCCGAAACCCACCGATGCCAACTTCACGAAGCTGGTAGGCTGTTATTAACGGGTCTGTGGGAGTCTTGTAACGAGGATGGGGTGTGTAAAGTGGAATTGGCAATGGCGGTTAAGGACATTCCTACAGAGAAGGGAAGACTATTTGTGACAACATCCACAGTGCTGGTATGTTCCTTGTTTGCTGTGGCGCATGGGGAAGTCGGTAAAGTATGGCGCAGAGAGGTGCGCGTGCGATGATGTGCAGGGAGGCATAAAGTGGCACAGAGATAGTTTCATGCAAGAATGGCGTAGCTCTGCCTTGTGGACGGGGAGGAGAAGGATGGAGAAGGCAGGTCAATAGACCGTCCTTATGCAGTGATCCCTGCATTTTCCGCATAACCCCTCTCCTCCCCTACCCCCCTTTCCCTCCCCTCTCATGTCACGGGCATTTTGAGTGCACATGATTTCTGACGACCTCAGAAACTGCCTTCATCACCACACTCCCCCTCCTTTTCCCCCATATCCCCCCTTCTTCCCCACCCTCCTGCATCTCTCCCGCAGATGAACGACTATCACACGCAGTTCACGTCTCTGAGGCGCCTCAGAACCTGCCTTTCTCCCACTTTCCCCCTCTGCGTCCCCCATAACCCCCCTCCCTGCCCCATCCGCCCGCAACTCGCCCGCAGATGAACGACTACCACACGCAGTTCACGGGCATTCTGAGCGCAGACATCAAAACCAACCCCGTTTTCGGCAACTGGAACCTGGCAGTGCTTATGTACTGTGACGGAGGGGCGTATATGGGGTACAAGGGCCGCGTGGCAGTGGGCTCGTCTCGCCTGTTTTACTCTGGTCGGCAAGTTGTAATGTTGCTGCTGGAAGATGCGTGGGGTCTGAAGGGCGTTGGAGCATGACAGGCGTCTGAGCATGACCAATGGAGGCTCATGGTGGGGTGGGGAAGCAGTAGCTCAACGATAGTGGTAGCCCGAGTGATTTCTCCACAGGGCGTCGGAGAATTTCAAGCTTACCATATCTTTAAGTGGTCAGTGGGACGAGGCTCAAGATGTTGATTTCATTCGACGGTTTCGAAAAACGGTTCCTGTTGAAAAGCCCATGGACACTGGTTTTTCCTCCTTGCAGATATGCTCAAGATTCGTGGGCTGTCAGCAGCATCAGCAGTGCTTATAACGGGTTGCTCAGCAGGGGGGCAGGGGGTGGCGGTGAGCTGTGACTGGATGGCGTCTCGCCTTCCCTCTGCCACCACTGTCAAATGCGCCATCGATGCCGGATATTTTTTGGGTGAGACATTTCAGGAAAATTGTGGAAGTTTTAGAAAAATCATTGTTAATTTGATAACATCTCTGAGGATCAAGTTTTTGTATTTTCATAAAATTTGTTGATCCGTGCTGGTGCATGCATTTTTCTTTCACCTGTTCGTTTTATTTGCCTTTCATACTCCCTCGTTCCCCACTTCCTTCCCCCTGACGCATTCCTTTACCTCCTCCACTTTCCTGGTACCTGCCCTTCCAGACGAGCCGGACCTGGTGGGGCGCTTTTCATTCCGTGGCATGACGCAGCGCATGATGGTCAACCAATAAAGAGACGCATCCTTATCGCACTACTTAACCACTCCCTTCCCTTTTCCTGGTACCTGCCCTTCCAGACGAGCCGGACCTGGTGGGGCGCTTTTCATTCCGTGGCATGATGCAGCGCATGATGGTCAGCCAATGGAGTGACGCGTCCTTCGACCCACAATGCGTGAAAGGTGAGACTGTAATATTGTCCACACAACCTTTTCATGAGCTATGATCCTAAGACCCTCGATGTGTAAAAATGTGCACACACACGCCCTGTTCCCTTTCCCCCCAACCCCCCTCTTCTCCACCTTCCAGCACAACTCCCCTCCCCACTGGCTCACCACATCCGCATCCTCACCCCCTCCCTCCCCTTAACCTGTTCCCCTTGACCAGCCTATCCCCGCACTGAGAAGTGGCGCTGCATATTCCCAGCCAACGCCCTCCAGCACACACAAACGCCCGTCCTCGTGCTCAACTCAGCGTTTGACCTTGCAGCGCTGGCCATCGGGCTGACCAGAGGCAACGTTGAGGCCATGACTGGCTCGTATGAGAGCGTTGTTCCGTGCTACCGCTCCGACCGCTTTCTCTCCTGCCCCAGGAGAATTCGCAACTATGTAGGGCACCATGCTATAGTGCTCAGAAACTCGCTACAAGCATTGGTGCAAAACCGGCATGCAGCAGGGGTGCAGTCAACAGCAGTAGTTCCTAACAAAACAAGCCATTGCACCATGGCTTATGACAATTGGTCTGTTCCTGATGCCAGTGGTGTCAGGCTGAGGGACGTGGTGGCTGCTTGGTTCTTTGGCAAGCAGCTGTGACAGAAAGTAGCCAAGTTCCAGTAATTATTGTTGCACATTCTTTATTGTAAGGGCATCTACGGTATGCTCTTTCCCTGTTCCACAAAGCAGCTCACTTGAGATTCATACCGGTATCAGTTTTAGGAACGACACAGAGGTGTCAAATCACCAAAGCTTTATTCAGGAACGTCTTATTGGAATTGGCCAGAATAGCATGCCCAATAGCAGGGTTGTCAGAATCATTTATCTCATGCCACCCCTGGGATACCCTTCCGCCAGTCGTATGATATTTACAATGAACCCTCGGCAGAAACTGAGTAAGCCCCTTTAAAAGATCAACAGGCGTGGCGACGGCTATTAAAGGCCGCGAATCCGCAAACCCTTCGAGACGGACGACTCTGCTAAGCAGCCATCATCAACGGTCGCGTTTCCTCCACCTCCGGCTCTCGAAGCGGAGCGGTCGCAGCGGCGGGAACAGCGGCATGGTGGCCCTTGTACGACACCCTGGCGATGGCCGATTCGTACGACGCGAGCACGGTGAACGACAGCGTGAAGGCCACGGCAACCCCGAGGACGAAAACGACGCCGCGGATCGTGTCCCACAGAGACTCTGGCGCAGCGGCTTTGGTTTCCTTGGCCTGCTTCGCCTCTGTCGCCATTGCGGGGGACGAATCTGGCAGCAAAGAGCTCGGAAGGAACTGACGACACGATTGGCCTGATAGACACAGAATAAACGGCTAATGAAAGCTGAAGCACAACTGAACGCCCTGTCTACTGCTGTTATCGTGATGAGTTCCCTAGGACTTATCTTGCGCTACCTAGCCACAGATGTCGTCGAGCAGGCTCCTGTCTTGTGCCTAGGCTGCTGTCACGAACTTTTCGGTTCAACTGAAGCTTCACCGAGGATGGTGTCCAGGCACATGAAGTTTGTTTTTGCCTGAACAATCCCGGAAAATAACTTCTCCACACCCACCGCTAACACTAGGAAATGGCTACGCACTGCGACAAATGCTCGGCTAGGAACTGTATTTTCGCACGGAACTCCAATTTCCTGCCCCAGTAAATTCGATGTGTTCAATCGTGTCATCCCCGAGCGCCAAAGCTACCGTTTCACCTGCCGAGAAGTTCGCGAGTACGTCTCTTCTCTTGAGAATGTGGCGCGCCGAAGAAGAATGTGGCACGTGAGCAGAGTTCCATGCACCTGGAAATTGGACCCCTTGAAATTCGCGTGGGTTCTTGCAGCAGACTTCATGCGTGGACTCAAGGCACTCTGACGTGGGATGAGCTGTGGTCTCTGGTGGATGGCGTCGATAGGCACTGCTCTGTAGAATCACAATTGAGCAAGTTCTAGTTGGATGCGCTGATGAGGACAGTTTTATGCGAAGTAAATACAGTTTGAGAAGGTGTAGCCAAACTCATCAAAGTTGTCAATGTGTGGGAGAATCACAAACCGGCCGCGACATAGGGACAGCGCGCCGTTACGAGGACCACTTTCCGAGACGCAAATGGGGGGAAGCGACCGCGAGTTACGGCGAGCATTCTGGAAGTGCTGAGAAGGGTGCTTGGTGCTCGCTCAATCGGTTGGTCCTTGTAACGAGGTGCAACAAACCCAAGTTGGTGAGATACGAATGGACCAGTGCGAGTGTCGTGTACCGCAAACCCCCGAACTTCGCTAAAGGACAACCATTTGCGAACTTTCGAGCCCCATGATTACTGTCGCACAAAACATGCGGTCCGCTGCAGCCAGGTCAGTATGAGCTCAGGCTCTCATTTCGGTAGAGCAGGGCATACTCCAATCGCATGGGCATTTCTAAGTGGCCGTTTCACTTTCGTCATCGTCGTAGTCGTCGTCATTTTCGACGTTGAATCACATCTTTTCGTCACAGCCACCTATTATGTTCTGTTATTCGTCGCTTGCGCGCCTGCGATGCTGTGCGACACACCTAGTTTTCGCTGGGAACTTCACGCATATGTGAGCGGAAGATTTTTAGGCAGTGTCCACATATTCGTCCGGTAATCGCGCAGTACGGTTCAGCTGGTTGCCAGACGGTAAATGCAGGTTTCGGATTTCACCGTTTCGAACCGCAAATTACCTTCTGGAAACGAAGACGATGAAGACCCACCTGCCTGAGCATCATATCACATGCACCATCCCTCTCCCAGCACTCCTCCTACCCTTGAACATCCTAGTGCTTATGACTACTATTTGCAAGATGCCACCCTGCCTGCGTCTCCTAGTCTTCCCCGTCCGAGTCCTTCCACACAAGACGACGAGATGACAATTGTGGTGGTACCCTGGTCACACTCTCTCCATACTCACACGGCTTGGCCTTGACTGATTGCTGTTTGTTTTGCTGCGCGCGGCCGGCCACATTACGTCTGACAACCACCACCGCCTGCAACTTCCTTGTGGATAGGAAATGCAGATGTCATAGGGCTCTCGGCCTAGTCGCAAAGCTTTTCGCCGTTTGTGGTATGACCCGTCCATCCTGCGCGTCCACTCCAGCCTCCATCCGCCATGGATCAGGACTTTCCAGATTTTCCGTTAGCAATGCTTCGCTGGTCGTGAGCTCCTTACTCCGTCGCCATGGCTTGTCGAAATCATCGCCCAGACACAGCTGCGCAGCGGTGCTATGAAGTAGGATAGCCGACAGTAGCTTGGACAGTTCTTAGGTCGATAGCGTCTTAGCTCTGACTCGATTGTTACAGCACCCATCAACCGCACTCTTAGTGTTCCTACAGTGTGGAGAAGTCGTCGTTTAAGGCGGCTCGAAGTTCGCTTAGTGTGGCGAAGTCGTCTCGAACCGCGAGTGCGTGCTGTCGTTGGCCATGGCGGCTGCCGCCGTGCTGCCACCTGGCAGGGCGGCGCGGGCCGTGGTGTCGGCGATGGAGACGTACCACGACGCGCGCATCCAGTTCGTCGGCAAAGTCAGCGACCTCGCCTTCTCCCCGCAGGTAACTTTTCTCTCTCTCTCTCTCGCTCCCCCACAGGCCCTTGAGATGCTTCGGAAAGTAGCTTTTTGGATAGGCGAGCAGCGGACGGTTTCCGCTGGGCGCACGAGCAGCAGTAGGTTCCGCCAGGTCTGGTTCGCACGACGAGCAGCGGACGGTGCGTTTTCGTCGGGACAGTGGCGTCTGAAGCGGCAGCAGCGGCTGTAGACGGTTGCGTGGCACTTCGTGTAGGACCCGGGTGCTGGGTCCCTAGAGAATGAAGCTGACGCGGCCGACGGACGCATCGAAGGGGAGGAAAGCGGAGGGAAGGGGAGGCGAGGCGAAGGAGAGGAAAGCGGAGGGATGGGGAGGGGAGGGGACGGGGAATTGAGGCGAGGGGAGGCGAGGGGAAGAAGAAAGGGGCAGCGGCGAAAGGGAAGGGGCGCAGGGGACGCGGAAGCCGCGGGAAGCGGTGGTAGTTATTTGAACGGGTAGATACACGAGAGGGCAAGGTGGGGAGATGATCGGCGAAATGGTCGGGGTGCGAGCAGATAATTCTCGGCCGCGTGCTACTGCATGGCTCGTGGTAGTGCGTGGCGCGCGTTCCAGTTAGACTCGCGCTAGGGTGGCGAAGCCGTGGCGGGCAGCGGTGTTGCCGTAGCTGTTAGAGACACGGCACGACCGCTTCACCCGCGACTCTGAGAGACGTTCTTCCTCACCTCCTCCCCCCACCCTTGGCCTCCCGCCCGCACTCCTTTCTTTTTCTCCCCGTTCCCCTCTCTATTGCCCTCGTCTCAAGCACTTCGTGCTCTGCTCCCCTGCGTTCCCCATCCTCCTGCCCTCCCTCCCCCCCCCACCACACGCGCCGCAGAACGCGGAGGCGTTCTTTTCGCTGGGCGCCATGCAGCTGCTGCTGCCGCTCATGCATGACGTCATGTCGTCCGTGCGATCCGCCGCGATCCTCTCGCTGGGGCGCCTCGCCAACGTGTCGGACACGTGGGCCAATGACATCGTCGATCGCAACATACTCCCCGACCTCTGCAAGGCGCTCGCGTGAGTCTTGAACCGTCTCGGAAGCTTGCCTGAGTGAAACGCATCACTCATTTTTACATCCCTCCTGTCTTTCTCCTCTTCCTCGTCATTTATTGCCGCCATGATTTCCCCGTCTCCTCAACCACGCATTTCCCTCCCCGCTTCTTCCCCCCACCCCCTTCCACTCACCAGCGGCAACAACCGTCATCACAAGCGCGCCGCTGCGTTTGCCGTCAAGGCCGTGGCGCGCCACGCTGGCGCTGAGCTGGCGGCGGTCGGCAGCAGCGGCCCGGGCAGCGTGCTGCCGGTCCTCGCGGAGTGCCTCACAGACGCGATGCCGGCGGTGCGCGAAACGGCCGCGTGCGCATTGGGCCACGTGGCAAAGCAGAGCCGCGAAGCCGCGACGCGCGTGATAGAGACCGGCGCGGTGGCGACTTTAATAGGCTCGCTACACGACGAGGAGGTAGCGCGAATGGCGCTGTCGGTTTTAGGAGACATCGCGCGGCACTCCGCGGAGCACGCGACTATTGTGGCGGACGGGGGAAGGGGGGAGGCGGACGGGGGGGTGGGCGCAGCGGAAGGCGGAGCGATCGGGAGAATCGTGGCGCTGCTGGGATCGAAAGACGTTAAGATGCGGCGACAGGTGAGGGGCGCGGGGGGAACGGTTGGAGGGGAGCCGGGAGGGGGGGCTAGGCGGAATTGGGGGAAGATTGGGGGGGAGTGGTGCGAGGCGGAGGGGAAAGGAGGGTGGAGGGTGGCGATTGCAGTGTGCGCAAATCAGTCTGCAAGTGCCTAGAGTAGAGGTCACGTGCTTGCACGCGTCAGTGAACGCGTTCGTCCCCCTCGCTCCCTCCCTCCCTCACCCCCGTGTGCCCCATTCGCGCCCTCCCCCCTTCCTCTTCGTCTTCCCATCCCTCTCTCCCCGTGCTCTCTCTCCGCGCAGGTGTGCGTGTGTCTGTCGCAAATCGTGAAGCACTCCGAGGCACTCGCCATCGTAAGCCCTCCCTCCTCCCTCCCCCCCCCCCCCTCTCTCCGCCCCCCTTTGAGTGCCACACCCTTCTCTCTCTTCTGAAGCATCTCAACAGTCATACCATGCTTCCAGCTCTTGCTTTGCCTGTACAACGCCCCGTTCTCGCGCCCTTGCGTCCCCAACACTTCCGCTTCTTCTCACAATCTCTCTCATCCCGTTCTCTCCCCTCGCCCTCCATTCCTTCCTCCCCGATCCCCCTTTCCCCCGCCTCCCCTACCCCTCCCCTTCCCCGTCCCCCTCCCCAACAGCGCGTGGCGTGCGCGGAGGGCATATCGCGCCTCTTCCTCTGTCTGCACGACTCCGACCAGGCGCTCCGCCGCAACGCCGCCTTCGCCATGCGCGAGATCGCGCGCAAGTCGCCCGCCGCCGCGGACCGCCTCATACACCTGGGCGCAATCGGCCCCGTTATAGACGCAGTGCTCACAGAGGAGGGCGGCGCGGGTTCCGCGCGCCTGGCGGTGGTGCAGGCGCTGGGGCACCTGGCGGGCGCGGGGGGGGAGGGCGCGCTGGCGATAGTGGCGTCTGAGGGGGTGGCGCCGCTGAAGGAGCTGCTGATTCAGGCTGACGTGGAGGAGGGCGTGCGCGGCGCGTGCGCGTGGGCCCTGAGTCAGATCGGGCGGCATAGTTCGGCGCATGTGAAGGCCGTGGCGGATTCTGGAGCGTTGATCGACATGGTGACGGTGGCGACCGTTGATCTCGCTCATGCTGCTCCTCCCTCTGCTTCTGGTACTAGCGGTGCTGCTGCTGGTGGTGCTGCTTCGCTGGCAGCAGTCGAGGCGCGCACGAGAATAGTGAGGGCTTTAAAAGACCTAGTTAGTGGGGTGGGCGAGCTCGAGTCGCTAGACTCGCTGCTACAGTGGACCACTCTCCCCGAAGGGATACTAGAAGCGGTGCTTCTGCGAATCTTCCACGTCCTTAATAGCAGCAGCAACGCCTGCCGCTCCACCTTCGTCCAATCGCGAGGCTTCGCGAAACTGCAGAGGTTGCACGAGGAGGCAGAGGCGAGAAGAGCGGCGGCCAAGGCGGCGGGTGGAGAGGGAGGGTCGGGAGGAGCGGCTTGTGTGCATAACGGGGTGGACTATAACGCGGTTTATGACCATATCGCGATGATCAACACGTTCTTTCCGTTTGAGGTCTCAGTAACGTACCCGCCAGAGTACCAGCAGCGGCTACTGGAGAAGCTTACAGCGAGTATGAACGCTGACTCGTCCGGATCTGGTTCCCCGCGAAAGAAGGGCAAGGGGAAGCTTCCGAGGCTCAAGATAGGCAAGGGGGGGTACCTGGTGGGGAAGGGCGGGTGGGAGGAGGCGGAGCTGTCGCCGGGGGAGAGCGAGGAGGAGGTGGGGAAGCGCCTGGGGATGGCGGACCTAGTTGGGGGGAGGATACCGCACGGGCTCGCGGGGGAAGCGGGGGAAGCGGGGGAGGCGGAGAGGAGTGGGGAAGGGGTGGGAGGAGAGGCGGTGGTGGTGGAAGAGAGGAGCGGGGAGAGCGGAGCTGTGTTGGCAGGTGAAGGAGGGGCGAGTGCGGATTCGGGGGAGAGGAGAGGAGAGGCGTCGTCAGAAGCAGAGTCAGCTGCAGCGTCTGTATCACCCGCCCCGCCAGCAGCAGCGTCAGAGTCGCCAGCAGCAGCAGCACCGCCAGCGCCACCTGATCCGCCTGCTGCTCCTCCTCCCGCTCCCCCTGCTGCTCCCCCGCCTGCCCCACCTGCTCCCCCTCCGTCCGCCCCTCCAGCCCCGCCTCCCCCCCCACCTCCTGCAGCAGACGCTTCAGTGCCTCCCCCTCCTCCTGCCCCTGCTCCTCCTGATCCTCCTTCTCCTCCTCCTCCCCCTGCTCCACCTGCCCCTCCTGCCCCTCCGCCCCCTGCTCAATCCGCCCCGCCCCCACCTCCCCCGCCCCCTCCTCCCCCTCCACCACCACCACCGCCTGCCTTCGACCCTCCCCCTCCCCCTCCCCCCCCGCCCGCCCCTGAGCCAGCAGCACAGGCGGGAAAAATCCCACCCCCACCCCCTCCACCTCCTCCCCCTCCCCTCCCGGGCAGCTTCTATTAGAGCAGCAGGCTGATAGGCTGTGAGACGCAGCAGTGGCCGTGGCACGGACAGGGGGTGAGGCAGGGGCAGGCCGCAGAGATATCAGTGGCAGAGGGAGAGGAGGCATTGACAGGGGCAGTGGCCGTGGTGGTGGGGAGATGTTGGCGTTGGGGCAGTGGCAATCCCATACCTGCTGCAGGAGGGTGGGAATAAGTGTGCCTGTAAACTGTGTGAGGGATATCCACTACCCACACGGGTGTGCAGCAGGCAGCAGCATGCTCCAGCAGGGGGCACACTGTGAAGCACGTGGGGCTAACGTTCTCTCTTTCCTCAACTCAAGAAGCTTCAGGCGGACCTGCGATGCTGCTGCAGCAGGCGCGCTGTGAGGTGACAGGGACTGGCATGCAGCCGGGGACACCTGGCCCTGGGCTGCAGCGAGTGAGTGGGAGCTGGCGGCTGTGGCTCTAGTGTTCGCATCACATCCTCGTGAAAAGCTCGTGTACTGGTGTGATGCTGAATGGGTGGTGGTGTGCTGAGCAGTGGTGAACTTAAGTGTTGTCTCCAAGTCGAAGTGCGAGACAGGAAGCAGTCTCTTGCTGCGTGGAGGAGCTGGCAGGCAGTGGGAGTGAAAGCGAGAGTGCGAGCCGTGTGTGGATTGTAGCAGCAGCAGCATCATCTGCGTCTGATCGTGTTGCTCCTGACGCATGTTGCGGCGCTTCTACTCCACGAGTGTAGACTGTAGAAATGTAGCAGGTTGTAGGGTGTAGGTGCTATATTCGTTTCATTTATGTTGTAGGGTAGGTGCTTCCTTGGGCAGTAGTAGCCTGCAGGAAGATATGCTTTATTTCATGTGTTGCTATTAGGTTATGTAGGTTATTATTGTAATATTGATTGTATTATTGTGCCTTCATTTTTGTGAGTGACCTTCTGTAAGGTACCGTAAAAGACGTTCCTAGCCAAAATGCTGATGCCCATCCATAAGCAACGTCTTATCTGAACGTATGGTTATGGCATACATGCACAGCATGGCATGGCAGGGGCAGTGGCACCATTAGTTCGCCAACACTCAGCAAGAGCAGCAGCACCGCCAACCCCTTCAGTAGTATTGCTTGATGGTTTGTTCTGAGAAGGTTCCTAAGTCCATGCCCGGCTGCCATGGCACCAACTCCTGCAAGGATTGTAGCGAAGGGGGAAAGGGGGGATGGGGGATGGGGGGGTAATGCAATGGAGCGGTATGCAAGGGAGAGAAGGGAGAGGTGTGAAGAATGAGAGGTGTGAGAGTCAGAGGAGTTATAGTGAGAGGAGTGATAGTGAGAGGTGTGATAGTGAGAGGTGTGATAGTGAGAGGTGTGATAGTGAGAGGTGTGATAGTGAGAGGGGGGAGAGTGAGAGGTGTGAGCATGAGAAGAGTGAGAGCGAGAGGCGTGAGCATGAGAAGAGTGAGAGCGAGAGGCGTGAGAGTGAGAGGAGTGAGCGGCGGTGTGACGCGGCACTGGATTGAACTGGAGAGTGTTGAAGCTTGTCTGACGCAGATAGCCAGCAAGAAAGGAGAGTGCGTGAGCCGACTAGTGGTGGGAGGACCCACCTCTGGTGTGAGAGAGCAGCAGAGCGGCATGTCGAGAGGCTCGTTCCTGGGTGGGGAAAAGTGGGGAGAACACGGGGGAGTGAGCGAGAGTGGGAGACATGGATTGAGAGGAGAGTGTGAGGGAGAGCAGGAGTGGGAGGGATGGAATGACCAGGAGTGCATGGGGGGTCTCTAGGCGGAAGATATCAAAAGGAGCACATGGCATGGTTCCTCTGCTGGTAGTGCCTGAGCGATGTTGACAGAGCTGTCAGCATGTGAAGGGTTGGGTGGGGGGGGACACAGAGTCCACGAATGTGCAGCACAGTGCAGCAACACGTACCATGAAGGCTGATGGACGGGCGAGGGCAGCACGGCGATTGCGATTGGTTGGCGCAGCGATGGTGGATGGCATGGGCATGATGATGCAAAACAGAGACGGGATGAGGAGAATAGTTGGGCGAAAGAGTGGAAGGACAACGGGAATGGTGGTGGTGAGAGCGATGGAGGTAGCGAGAGCGATGGCATGAGCAACAAGGACCAGAGCAGGCACATGGTGTTTGTTAGGCTTACCTATGTGAATTGTACAAAGAGCATCTAATAATAATCATGGCCGTTGCACATGCATGAACAGTCCGTACCTGCATGAACGAGGAGTGCTCCCAGGGGTGGTTCGACGTGTGGTCCCAGGGGTGGCAGTACGTACCTGCATGAACACTGCTAATGTGGCGCGAGAAACGCCTAATGACGCCGGTCCCTTGGGCGCCTGTGTGCATGCATGTCATGGCAGGGGCGGGTGGGTATGGCATTGCAGGATGAGCATGCACCGAGTGACATTGGATCGGAAGGAATGTGACAGAGCCAATGGGATGGAGCCATGGGACGAAGCAACATGGGGGGCAGAAATCAATACGAGTGTGAGAAGAGGATGGGCGAGTGATGAGAGGGGGTGGCTGGGAGAAGAGGCAGTGAACTGCAATACAGTGGGGGCTGGCAGCAACATGAGCACAGTGAGAGGAAGAGGCAGTGAACTGCAATACAGTGGGGGCTGGCAGCAACATGAGCACAGTGAGAGGAAGAGGCAGTGAACTGCAATACAGTGGGGGCTGGCAGCAACATGAGCACAGTGAGAGGAAGAGGCAGTGAACTGCAATACAGTGGGGGCTGGCAGCAACATGAGCACAGTGAGAGGAAGAGGCAGTGAACTGCAATACAGTGGGGGCTGGCAGCAACATGAGCACAGTGAGAGGAAGAGGCAGTGAACTGCAATACAGTGGGGGCTGGCAGCAACATGAGCACAGTGAGAGGAAGAGGCAGTGAACTGCAATACAGTGGGGGCTGGCAACAACATGAGCACAGTGAGAGGAAGAGGCAGTGAACTGCAATACAGTGGGGGCTGGCAGCAACATGAGCACAGTGAGAGGAAGCAGCAGTGAACTGCAATACAGTGGGGGCTGGCAGCAACATGAGCACAGTGAGAGGAAGAGGCAGTGAACTGCAATACAGTGGGGGCTGGCAGCAACATGAGCACAGTGAGAGGAAGAGGCAGTGAACTGCAATACAGTGGGGGCTGGCAGCAACATGAGCACAGTGAGAGGAAGAGGCAGTGAACTGCAATACAGTGGGGGCTGGCAGCAACATGAGCACAGTGAGAGGAAGCGGCAGTGAACTGCAATACAGTGGGGGCTGGCAGCAACATGAGCACAGTGAGAGGAAGAGGCAGTGAACTGCAATACAGTGGGGGCTGGCAGCAACATGAGCACAGTGAGAGGAAGAGGCAGTGAACTGCAATACAGTGGGGGCTGGCAGCAACATGAGCACAGTGAGAGGAAGCGGCAGTGAACTGCAATACAGTGGGGGCTGGCAGCAACATGAGCACAGTGAGAGGAAGAGGCAGTGAACTGCAATACAGTGGGGGCTGGCAGCAACATGAGCACAGTGAGAGGAAGCGGCAGTGAACTGCAATACAGTGGGGGCTGGCAGCAACATGAGCACAGTGAGAGGAAGCGGCAGTGAACTGCAATACAGTGGGGGCTGGCAGCAACATGAGCACAGTGAGAGGAAGAGGCAGTGAACTGCAATACAGTGGGGGCTGGCAGCAACATGAGCACAGTGAGAGGAAGAGGCAGTGAACTGCAATACAGTGGGGGCTGGCAGCAACATGAGCACAGTGAGAGGAAGAGGCAGTGAACTGCAATACAGTGGGGGCTGGCAGCAACATGAGCACAGTGAGAGGAAGCAGCAGTGAACTGCAATACAGTGGGGGCTGGCAGCAACATGAGCACAGTGAGAGGAAGAGGCAGTGAACTGCAATACAGTGGGGGCTGGCAGCAACATGAGCACAGTGAGAGGAAGAGGCAGTGAACTGCAATACAGTGGGGGCTGGCAGCAACATGAACATAGTGAGAGGAAGCGGCAGTGAACTGCAATACAGTGGGGGCTGGCAGCAACATGAGCACAGTGAGAGGAAGAGGCAGTGAACTGCAATACAGTGGGGGCTGGCAGCAACATGAGCACAGTGAGAGGAAGAGGCAGTGAACTGCAATACAGTGGGGGCTGGCAGCAACATGAGCACAGTGAGAGGAAGAGGCAGTGAACTGCAATACAGTGGGGGCTGGCAGCAACATGAGCACAGTGAGAGGAAGAGGCAGTGAACTGCAATACAGTGGGGGCTGGCAGCAACATGAGCACAGTGAGAGGAAGAGGCAGTGAACTGCAATACAGTGGGGGCTGGCAGCAACATGAGCACAGTGAGAGGAAGAGGCAGTGAACTGCAATACAGTGGGGGCTGGCAGCAACATGAGCACAGTGAGAGGAAGAGGCAGTGAACTGCAATACAGTGGGGGCTGGCAGCAACATGAGCACAGTGAGAGGAAGCGGCAGTGTGTAAGGGGAGTGACAGCAATAGGAGTTGAGGGCAGAAGCAGGGTACCGCAACACAGTGGGGCGTGGCAGCTAGGAGGCCCCCCGACTGGATAGACATGGCATGACCCACTTGAAACGCTATGCACCCCTCTGGTATGCGCGCCTGGTGCACATGCATGCACGCATAAAGATGCATGGAACACATAATGGGGCATATCGACAGAGCAGTGAGAATGGATTAAAGACAAGGATGGTGAATGTACACCAAGGGGACAGGCACACACACACACACACACACACACACACACACACACACACACACACACACACACACACACACACACACACCTGCACAATCTGCCCGTCCCTGGTTCGAATGTAGAGGCCACACGAGGGGTCCAACTCGCTGCCCTCCAACGCCTCCCCTCCCCTCCAGAACTGCGCCCTTGTCAGGCCTGAAATAGATAGATACAGGCAGGCAGGCAGAGAGAGAGTGAGTGAGAGAGGAAGGGAGAGAGGGAGGGAGGGAGGGAGGGAGGGGGGGAGGGAGGGAGGGAGGGAGGGAGGGAGGGAGGGAGGGAGGGAGGGAGGGAGGGAGGGAGGGAGGGAGGGAGGGAGGGAGGGAGGGAGTGAGAGAGGGAGGGAGGGAGGGAGGGAGGGAGGGAGGGAGGGAGGGAGGGAGGGAGGGAGTGAGAGAGGGAGGGAGGGAGGGAGGGAGGGAGGGAGGGAGGGAGGGAGGGAGGGAGGGAGGGAGGGAGGGAGGGAGGGAGGGAGGGAGGGAGGGAGGGAGGGAGGGAGGGAGGGAGGGAGGGAGGGAGGGAGGGAGGGAGTGAGAGAGGGAGGGAGGGAGGGAGGGAGGGAGGGAGGGAGGGAGGGAGGGAGGGAGGGAGGGAGGGAGTGAGAGAGGGAGGGAGTGAGAGAGGAAGGGAGGGAGCGCCAAGTCCTGCACCATCAAGACAGCACCAGAATTTGATGCTGCTGTACGTTTTGAGACAGAAACGAGAGCATAAGGGGCACATGTGTGGAAGCCATGGGGACTGCAGCTTGGGTAGCATCATGGGGAGAGAGGCAGCACGTGCCTGTGAGGGAGCCATGGTCCAGGTGCCAGCCACACCACGACGACACATCCGCATCTGCCACAGCCGTGAGACTCTCAGAAGCAGACGCGCCCCCATCGCCCCCATTGCCTGCACATGCCACTGCCTCCTCCTCCCTTGACGCCCTGCTGGTATCAACAGGCGGCTGCCCCTCTCCCTGTGCTGCTGGCGGTGTGGGTGGGGGCTGCTGTGGCGGCAGGTAGAGCAGCAGGCGGGCCTTGTGGCACGGGGACTGCTCCACCACTCGCAGCAGCTTGCCGGGGGGCACATGGGGGTTCCTGCTGTGCACTGCCATGCCATGGAGTGGTGCCGTGGGAAGGGCCAGGCCAAAGGGTTCCACTTTGAGAATGCTGATATGGGATGTTTGAAAGAAAGGAACTGAAGTCACTCACGCAAGATAGTTGTGGTTTGAAGGCTCACCGTAGGAATCACAGTGTTGCAGCAGCTGCTTGCCCACATCCACTATCATCCGACTCAGTGCCTTGAAGGCTGAAAGGCGCGCAGCAGAGCAGGGAAAAGCAACAGCAATATTCAGATCAGTGTAATGACGTTTTGTGATTGTGATGTGACTACAACGAGTCAGAGTGACAAGGGCAGGAGAAGCTGACGTGGCTCGGCGCCAGCTCACCTGGTTCCAGCTCCGGGAGGTCTTGTGAAGGCCACACGTTGGGGCGGCAGTAGGTGGGGAACCTGTGTGCAGGGCATGCGCATGTGCATGAGTGCATGTACATGAGTATGTAGTCCATGTATATGAGTATGTAGTGCATGTATATGAGTATGTAGTGCATGTATATGAGTATGTAGTGCATGTATATGAGTATGTAGTGCATGTTTATGAGTATGTAGTGCATGTACATGAGTATGTAGTGCATGTATATGAGTATGTAGTGCATGTACATGAGTATGTAGTGCATGTATATGAGTATGTAGTGCATGTACATGAGTATGTAGTGCATGTATATGAGTATGTAGTGCATGTATATGAGTATGTAGTGCATGTTTATGAGTATGTAGTGCATGTACATGAGTATGTAGTGCATGTATATGAGTATGTAGTGCATGTACATGAGTATGTAGTGCATGTATATGAGTATGTAGTGCATGTACATGAGTATGTAGTGCATGTATATGAGTATGTAGTGCATGTACATGAGTATGTAGTGCATGTACATATGTATGAAGTGCATGTACATGAGTATGTAGTGCATGTGCAGACGAATTCCCATATGTACATGCAGGTGCACTCGCTATGAATGAAACCCAGGGCAGCTCCCTATGGGGGGTTGTGAGGAGAAGGCGCCTCTGCTCTGGGGGGTTGTGAGGGGAAGGCGCCTCTGCTCCGGGCGCGCGTGGACCAAGGCGCGCGCCCGGACCAACGCGCGCGCCCGGACCGACGCGCGCGCCCGGACCGACGCGCGCGCCCGGACCGACGCGCGCGCCCGGACCGACGCGCGCGCCCGGACCGACGCGCGCGCCCGGACCGACGCGCGCGCCCGGACCGACGCGCGCGCCCGGACCGACGCGCGCGCCCGGACCGACGCGCGCGCCCGGACCGACGCGCGCGCCCGGACCGACGCGCTCGCCCGGACCGACGCGCGCGCCCGGACCGACGCGCGCGCCCGGACCGACGCGCGCGCCCGGACCGACGCGCGCGCCCGGACCGACGCGCGCGCCCGGACCGACGCGCGCGCCCGGACCGACGCGCGCGCCTGGACCAACGCGCGCGCCTGGACCAACGCGCGCGCGCCTGGACCAACGCGCGCGCCTGGACCAACGCGCGCGCCTGGACCAACGCGCGCGCCTGCACCAACGCGCGCGCCTGCACCAACGCGCGCGCCTGCACCAACGCGCGCGCCTGCACCAACGCGCGCGCTTGGACCAACGCGCGCGCCTGGACCAACGCGCGCGCCTGGACCAACGCGCGCGCCAGGACCAACGCGCGCGCCTGGACCAAGGCGCGCCCCTGGACCAAGGCGCGCGCCTGGACCAACGCGCGCGCCTGGACCAACGCGCGCGCCAGGACCAACGCGCGCGCCTGGACCAACGTGCGCGCCTGGACCAACGCGCGCGCCTGCACCAACGCGCGCGCCTGCACCAACGCGCGCGCCTGCACCAACGCGCGCGCCTGGACCAACGCGCGCGCCTGGACCAACGCGCGCGCCTGGACCAACGCGCGCGCCAGGACCAACGCGCGCGCCTGGACCAAGGCGCGCCCCTGGACCAAGGCGCGCGCCTGGACCAACGCGCGCGCCTGGACCAACGCGCGCGCCAGGACCAACGCGCGCGCCTGGACCAACGCGCGCGCCTGGACCAACGCGCGCGCCTGGACCAACGCGCGCGCGCCTGGACCAACGCGCGCGCCTGGACCAACGCGCGCGCCTGGACCAACGCGCGCGCCTGGACCAACGCGCGCGCGCCTGGACCAACGCGCGCGCCTGGACCAACGCGCGCGCCTGGACCAACGCGCGCGCCTGGACCAACGCGCGCGCCTGGACCAACGCGCGCGCCTGGACCAACGCGCGCGCCTGGACCATCGCGCGCGCCTGGACCAACGCGCGCGCCTGGACCAACGCGCGCGCCTGGACAAACGCGCGCGCCTGGACCAACGCGCACGCCTGGACCAACGCGCGCGCCTGGACCATCGCGCGCGCCTGGACCAACGCGCGCGCCTGGATCAACGCGCGCCTGGACCAACGCGCGCGCCTGGACCAACGCGCGCGCCTGGACCAACGCGCGCGCGCCTGGACCAACGCGCGCGCCTGGACCAACCCGCGCGCCTGGACCAACGCGCACGCCTGGAACAACGCGCACCTGGACCAAGGCGCGCGCCTGGACCAAGGCGCGCGCCTGGACCAACGCGCGCGCCTGGACCAACGCGCGCGCCTGGACCAACGCGCGCGCCTGGACTAACGCGCGCGCCTGGACCAAGGCGCGCGTGCGGACCAACGCTCGCGCCTGGACCAACGCGCGCGCCTGGACCAACGCGCGCGCCTGGACCAACGCGCGCGCCTGGACCAAGGGCGCGCGCCTGGACCAACGCGCGCCTCTGGACCAACGCGCGCGTCTGGACCAACGCGCACGCCTGGACCAACGCGCGCGCATGGACCAAGGCGCGCGCCTCTGCTCTGGGGGGTTGTGAGGGGAAGGCGCCTCTGCTCTGGGGGGTTAGGAGGGGAAGGCACCTCTGCTCTGGGGGGTTGTGAGGGCGACTCTGCTCTGGGGGGTTGGGAGGGGAAGGCGCCTCTGCTCTGGGGAGTTGTGAGGAGAAGGCGCCTCTGCTCTGGGGGGTTGTGAAAAGAAGGCGCCTCTGCTCTGGGGGGTTGTGAAGAGAAGGCGCCTCTGCTCTGGGGGAATGTGAGGAGAAGGCGCCTCTGCTCTGGGGGTTGTGAGGAGAAGGCGCCTCTGCTCTGGGGGTTGTGAGGAGAAGGCGCCTCTTCTCTGGGGGGTTGTGAGGAGAAGGCGCCTCTGCTCTGGGGGGTTGTGAGGGGCACCCTCACAAAAGGCTTGCGTCACCTCACCTGCGTATAAACTCGGGGTCGGTGGTGGGCGTGTCAGTGAGCGGGTTGGCATAGAAGGACGCCTTGAGCGCGTCCCTCCTGCCCGCCTCCACCGACTCCTTGCCCTCGCTCCACCCAAAGCTGTACCTGCCGTGCACCGTGCGCGTGCAGTCGAATCAGGCGCATGCGACATTGTTGTGTTGACATTTACAGGCACGAAACACGAGAGTTTGAAGAGAAGGATTAGCCACGGCACTTACTTGCTGTCTGGGTCTTCAATGCGTCTCTTGGCCTCTTCTGGGAGCTCCCCAAGCCTGGACACGTGCACACGCACATGGTCATGCATGCACCAACACAGTGATGCACAGTCACGCACGGGCATCAACTGAATGGTGGTTTGGACGAGTTGGAACAATGTGACACTGTTGAGTTTTATCAGGATACAGACCTTAATGCGAGCGGAAGAAGCTGTTCCCTTGCCTCAGGATAGCCGGGAACCTGAAAACAGACCACGCTACTCTTCAGCCGACTTATTTTCCTTTCTTGTTACACAACAAAGAAACACAGCACTAGACTGTAGCTCACAACGCATGTCTACTCGCAGCAGGTTCTCTTACATCGGAAACAGCGATGATTCCCAGACCTCCAGGCCCGAAAGCAGCTTCGATCTGAGCGGAGAGATCTTTGCCTTCCTGATTGCAATCCAACGGTCAGGCAGAAACGAGAGGTGAGTCACGACAAGTGAGGAAGTGGTTCCAAACCGCGGGAAATAACATGTTAACTACAAGTGTTTTCTTGCTGATGCTTCTTAAACAAACACTACGAGGGATTTAGCGACGCTACGCGACCGCGATGTGTGCGTAAGGGACATTCTAAGGCACCGACGACGGCGTGCTGGCGTCATGTGCTCGCGTGCTAAATGCCAAGCTGACATAACTGAGACGACGCGACGCGACTGCCTACTAGTGACAGACCTTAAGATCCGCGAAGCTTACTCGCACCACCTCCATTGTACCCCCTGCTGATCGCTTCGACCCGAGCTGTTAGCTTCACGAAAGGAACCAGCCCCGAGAGTAGCGGAAAGCGCGATCACTAACATAGATACGCGAAGTGGAAACAAGCGAGTGTGGAGGTCAAGCAGCTAAGAGTGTCGCGGAATGTGTCGAAGGTTGACCAGGAAAGCCACGGAGGCTCACGGATTAGGATAGGATGTCCAGAGTCCAAAGTGTGGTTCAGGCTGCTAGAGAAATTTGAACATGAAGAGTGCGGAATACGTATGATTCTCGCATTGCAACAATGCTCAAATTTGACCACTGCCAATGAAGCCTTGGGATTCGTGCGGCCAGCGTGAGCATGAAGATTCCAGCAGCGACAACTGGCGAAAGATTCTGCGACAACGTATGGGTATATATGTGAAGCTGCAACGTTCCGCAACACTGTTCGTAGAACTGGTTTGAGCGAAATATGGTCGGAAAGCGAGTCACACAGTAGGAGTACAATCCGTAAATGGATGATGGTCATGCATGCATCTGGTCGCACCCCATTTTCACTAAATTATCGAAGAATATAATTCGTCCTCAGCAGTCCCAGTGCCGCTGATAGTCCCAAGGGTAGAGGAATCAGGACTAACATCAGCCTGTTTCTGATAGTTCCTGGTTGCTCGCCAATGGCTCTGTCGCTGCAAGCCAGCTCCGCCGTTCCGCTGCGCGCAGCATTCAGGCAGGAACCCGCGCGCGATGCCACGTCAGCAAGCGTGTCTTTCGTTCCGCGAGTTGCAACGACCGTCGCGAGCCCTTCGTGCGATCGTCGAGGACAGTTGACCGCGCAGCGACGACAATGGCGGTCGCTGAAGGTGCGTGCGACGTTGGTAATGCATAAGCGCACATGGTCGCGAATAAGCAGAGTGCGGGGAAGGTTTCATTCAGCACAAGCCCATTAACACAGCCCACAGGCGTTACAAGCAAACTCTTAGTCTTCTTTTTTGCGCTCGTCTGGCTTATAGTCGCAGTCAGTTCCCCAGTGCACCTCTTTCCATCGTCCCTCCTCGCCTCCTCGTGCTCGCTGTTACCTTCCTACCCGTGACTTTCGCCGCAGGTTGCGGCGTCATCCGCGGCAACGACGGCAGAGCCCGCAGTGGAGGAGTCGACGGTGCTGCGTGTGATTATATCGGGGGCTCCAGCCTCCGGAAAGGGCACACAATGCGAGGAAATCGTCAAGAAGGTTCGTTCAATGGAAGGGGCCAGAACGGATTACACCGTAAGCTGTTGGAAGGAGTGGAACAACGGAGGCATTTGGCAGTGGCGATGCGCCACCCCCTGTTCAGTCGCTCCCGCTGCTCAATCCCATGAAGATCCTGCGGTGCTGCTCCCTTCCCCCCACCGCCACTACCACCACTACTTCACGTCCTCACAAGGGACTGGTGTCATTCAGGAAAGGTGCCTGCCTGCTACATGACCTGTTTCCCCGTGTTCGTTCGTGCATCCTTGTCATCCCGCACCCCTCCCGACTGCCAGTACGGGCTGTCGCGCATCTCCACGGGCGACCTGCGCAGGTTAACTCTCTGGCAACTCTCCTCCTTGTCTCATTTCTCCTTGTCTCTGCCTCCCTATCGCCTCCCCCCCTCTCCACTTCTCCACGCCGCCAGTACGGTTTGGCGCACATCTCGACGGGCGACCTGCTGCGGGACGAGGTGGCGCGCGGCACGGAGAACGGGAGGCGGGCCAAGGCGTTCATGGACGCGGGGCAGCTCGTGCCTGACGAGCTTGTGATTAGTGTGAGTTAGAACACTAAGCTGTGGTGTGGTGTGGTGTGGCATGGTGTTTGCTTGGAGGAGTGATGGCAAGCCGCATTTTTGGCGCAACTCAGCAGGCAGCCCGTGCCGGATGAGCGCATTATCAGCATGAGTCGGGATTAGCCGCTTGGTGTGGTGTTTGCATGGAGGTGTGTGAAGCTGGCTGCAAGGAAAGGGCTGTGCGGTCTGGCCAGGTTGCATGGGTTGGATTAGATGACAGTCCTGTATGTCCCCCACCCCACCCCACACTCCATAGCATCCTATCTCCCACTATCTTCAAATCTCCCACTCTCCTCGCCCCTCCTTCGAATTTCACTTTCATTCCTCTCTCTCATCTCACTCCCATCCCTCCCTCTCCCTACCTTCCTTGCCAGATGGTGCGGGAGCGTCTGTCTCAGCCGGACGCGCAGACCAAAGGGTGGCTGCTGGATGGGTTCCCGCGCTCGCCCGCACAGGCACAGGCGCTCATGGATGCAGGGGTGGTGCCCGACGTCTTCCTGCTGCTGCAGGTGCGCTGGGGCTTTGTGATTACTATTTATTCGTGAGTATGTCCGAATTTCGAGGCGACTCACAAGGCACAGGGGCTCATGGACGGAAGGGGTGGTTCTGGACGCCACTGCAGGAGCACCGTGCGTGAATCCAGTGTGTGCGCCCCACGTGTGCTGCTCGCTCCCTCCTGTTCACTCCCTCCTTCCTGTGCGCTTCAGTTCAGGGTGGTGGGATGGTGATCGACGTCATTCATATAATTGAAAGTGTTTCGCTTTGGTGGCATTGCCTCCCTGCGGCGTTGAGCCTCTGCAGGTGCCGGACAGCATTCTGGTGGAGCGCGTGGTGGGGTGCAGGCTGGACCCGCACACCAACCGCATCTACCACCTCACCTTCTCCCCTTCCAAGGGTCTGGACCGGCTTGCTCAGTCCTCACTGCCTCCCTGCTGCCGTGCTCCCCTGTGCCCCCCTCCCCTGCCATCATGCCTCTGCTCCGCAGGTGCCGGACAGCATTCTGGTGGAGCGGGTGGTGGGGCGCAGGCTGGATCCGCACACCAACCGCATCTACCACCTCACCTTCTCGCCGCCTGAGAGCGACGAGGTTCGAGCGCGGCTCATCCAGCGATCCGACGACACCGAGGAGAAGGTACGAGGTAGCACTGCTTGCTTGCATGTCATTACTTTGGAAGTCCCCTTGTTGTCAACACCCTCTCACACCTTCTCGCCGCCTGAGAGCGAGGAGGTTCGAGCACGGCTCACCCAGCGGTCGGAGGACACCGAGGAGAAGGTATATGACATGCTACATTCACGAGGTACGAGGTACAAGGTGCAAGGGCAAGGTACATTGACGGTATGACTTACAAGGTAGCATCGCTTGCTTGCACGGCACCTATCTTGTATTGGTTTTGAGAAATTTCAAATGTGGTACAGGGAGGAAGGCATCTTGTCAACACCCACTCACGCTTTTCTCCACCACTCCAATATATCTTCACACACCTTCCTGCTTCTCACGCTTGCTTCGTTGCCTAATCCTTTTTGCCCCTCTTTTTTCACGTCCACCACACCAACTCCCCTCCACCACCCAGGCGCTGGCGCGGGTGGAGGTATACAAGCAGCACGTGACGCATGTGGTGAATGCATACAGGGAGAAACTCGTGGAGGTACGTGTGTGCTTGAGCTGGGGGGAGGAAGAATGGATAAGGGAGGGTGGGGTGGCATGAGTGGGCGAAATGGCACTTGCTGGGTCATGCTACATTCTTTTCCGCTACCCCCTCGTCCAAAATCCTCTTCCTCTTCATCCATCTTACCCCCTTCCCCGAACCCTGTTCCCCCTACCATCTTCCCTCTACCCTCTTCCCCTACCCTTTTCCCCCTGCCCTCGTTCCGTACAGGTGAACGGGCATCGTGGCAAGCATGACGTGTTTGCTGACATCAGCAGCGCTCTTGACAAGGCCAGGGCGGACAAGGTAGTGCCTTACCATACCATGCAGTGGCAGCACCCTCTTGCCTCTCCCCACAGCCCACAACACACTACGCCTCACCCTCTGTGTGTCGCTCCTCTGGTCAAGCAAGGACCATCTTTTCCTTTTGTAACACCATGCTGCGCCCCTCTCTTGTTACTCCCCCCACCTGCGCTCCTCCCTTGCTTCTCCCCCGCCTCTGCTTGAACCTTGTGTCTCCCTTTCCCCATGCAACCGTGCGCCATGCAGCAGGCAGCAGCACCAGCAGCGGAAGAGGGCGCATGGAGGGGCATGCCAACGCGGCTGAACGACATCCCTCACAGCCGGGAGATCCGGCAGTACTTTTACGATGATGCCTGCTCCGCTGCTGTCAACGCCGTGGTTGCTGGCAAGCAGCGCATCAAGGTGGGATAAGTGTCTAGTGCATGGGCTTTGAGGTGCCTCACTTTTATGCTGATGCCTGTTCTGCTGCTGTCAACGCCATGGCTGCTGGGAAACAGAGGATCAAGGTGGGGGTGGGGGGGCAGTGCATGGCATGGCTGGCATGTGGCATTTTTCTCTTGGTGTAACACATGGTGGCCTTAATCTGATGGCAATACAACGTGCAGACATAGAATAGTGCATGGAAGTGCTACTGTGATGATTTACTGACTGCCAACCCCATTCCATCCCCCTGTGCTCTTGCGTCACCCTGCTTGTGCCATGGATGGGTATGTGGTGTGGGGCTCGTTGTATGCCTGCATGGCCATACCATGATGGGGTGCATATGAGGGTGGGAGGTGGGGGCACTCTGTGCCTGTGTGTGCCGTGTGTGAGTGTACAATGTGTGTGTGTGCGGTGTGTGAGTGTACAATGTGTGTGTGTGCGGTGTGTGAGTGTACAATGTGTGTGTGTGCGGTGTGTGTGCATGTGTGTTCTCGCCCACCCATCAGCTGGAGTGTCTAATCCCAGAGCTCAACCCCCAAATGGTCAGCCCTTCTCTCAACCCTTGCACTGCCAATCGTCCCTTACTTCTCAACCCTTTCTTTACATTCCCATCCCATACGTAATGCGTTTCACCAGGTTTTCTCCCTTCAAATCCCTCTCCCCCGTCTCATTATTTCCAAGCCCTCACCCTCCATCCCCTCCTCTTTTCGCACCCCTTGTCTGGCCTCTACTTCTCTCAACCCCTCCTTCCCCCGCACCATTCTCCTCTCCAACCTACTCACCCCACACCACACTCCCTGCACTGCATCGCACACTGTAGCCCCGTCGATCACTCACTCTGCCGCTC